TCAAGATCAACTCGGCCAGTACACCGATCGCGGCGAGGGGCTGGAACACATGTCCCTGTACGACTTTTTCCTGCGGACATACCACGATGGACATGCGATGCCTACTGACGTTGAGGCAAGCCGAGCTAGGAAAGGCCCGGGACGGCCGGGCGAATGTGAGACACGCTTACTTGGCTACGAGCGAACGCAAGGGCAGTCGAGTAGTACGTGGTGAGAGCCACGAAACGGCTATCCACATCGTCGGTCGATGGATCCCAAGCAAGGACGACCCCAACCAGGAAAACCACTGCGCGCAACTTTTGATGCTTCTGAAACCCTGGCGGCAATTCCTCGATCTTCTAGGCCAACACAGCACATTCGCCGCCGCAAAAGAAGACTTCCTTTCAACTTGTCCCTCCGAAACCCAACGCGTAGTGGAGAACGTGGAATACTATCACGAATGTTCCTCCGCCGCTCGGCGCCCGCCGATCGAACGAAACGCCACTGGAGCCCGAGGACTACGACGACAATGCAGACATCGATCATGAGCACACTGAGCAGGGACCTGCGCTGGCGCCCTCCTACACAGAGTCCGATGTGCGCGAGGCTCGTTACAACAAAGTTAACGCAGCGGAAGCGGCCTACGGAGCACGAGCAATGGATATCGCCGTCTCCGCGGGAATGCTGAAACCACAAGCTACCTCCGCAGCCCCTCTCCCTCCCCTGACCAGAGCGACAGCGTCGGAGCTGTCGCTCTACAGAGAATGGGAAGTCAAGGTCGCCGCACTGACACGAAACCCACATCTCTTACACTCTAACGACATCCAACGTCCGCCGAGAGTTGACCCAGGAAAAGTGCTAGATTCGCTCACAGCTACTATCCGAGCCAATGGGGAGGTTTTGCAAGGCAACGGTGACTTGACCCGCCACAGAACCGAAGATCAACTTGCAGCAGTTCAAATACTTAACGCCGAACAATGGCGCGCTCACGACATTGTTGAGCAGCACCTCAGGAACACTCTGACCGGTATAGAACAGCCACAGCTGCTGATGATCGTGCAGGGAGAAGGCGGGACTGGAAAGACTGTGATGCTAAACGCCATCAGCCACACGTTCGACTTCTTAGAAGCATCTCACCTGCTCGCTAAAACAGGTACCACGGGAATATCAGCAAGTCTGATTCGTGGCCAAACATTGCATCAGTGGGCAGCATTGCCGATCTATCCGAAGATGGATGGGAACTGGATTCTGAGTACGCAGATCCCCCGCTTTGTTGACGGAACCAAATGTTGATCATTAACAGAAGCAAGCAAGAAGTCTCGGGATCGTCGCATCAAGAACATTCAACCAACTAAATACCTCTTTATTGACGAAGTTTTCGATGCTGACGAAGAAGGTACTGGCGATGCTATCACAGGTCATCGGGTATGTGAAAGGCCTCCGCGGGGAAGCCCCGCCTCGCGCGCATTTGGCGGTATCAATGTCATTCTCGTCGGAGACCCTCATCAATTCCCACCTGTCGGGAACCCGCGTGCGGCGCTATACAACTCAGACACAGACGACGATATGCTATCTCAACAGGGGTTGTCCGCCTACCGACAGTTCGATACGGTGATCACATTGACGGAGCAGAACAGGGTGCAAGACCCGGTATGGAACGCGTTCTTACAACGCCTGCGAAAAGGCCAATGTCATGAAGAAGACCTCAACATGCTCCAGGGGTTGTTCGTTACCCGGGAGTCCAACGACAGCATCTGGGGCACCCAGCCATGGGCAGATGCAGTTCTGGTCACTCCGCGACATACCGTGCGGACAAGATGGAATTCCGCCGCCCTCCTAAGGCACCGATCTGCGACGGGGAACGCCATTTACATATCTACGGCGGAAGACACTGCAGAACAGCCAGCCAGGGCATTAACGATTGAAGAGCGCGTTGTCGTCGCTAGCTCGCCTGACAAAAAGACAGGGAAGCTCCCGGAACACATAGAACTATCAGTGGGGATGAAAGCGATGGTCTTATGGAACATCGCGACGGAAGCAGACTTGGCGAACGGGACGCGAGGGACGATTGTCGACGTGAAACTAGATCCCAGAGAACCTGATCAGTTGCCCAAAGATCGCGAAGGGCGCTGCATCTTGCAATACCCTCCTGCCGTGGTGCTGATTCACGTCGACGAACACAGCTTCCAGCCGTTTGAGTCTCTACCGCCTGGTGTGCTACCCATAACACCTACATCGGCATCGTTCACTATCGCCACATCATCACCTGATGGCGTGTCAATCAAACGGCGGCAGTACGCCGTAACACCCGGATATGCCTTCACCGACTACAAGTCACAGGGACAGACAATCCCGTACGTAATCGTCGACCTCGAAAGTCCCCCCCACGGAAAGCTGACTCCATTCAATGCATATGTTGCGCTCTCCCGAAGCAAAGGCCGCGAGTCCATCCGCATCCTCCGAGGATTTGACCCTAAAATCTTCACCACACACCCTTCGGAGAGGCTAAGGGAGGAGGACGAAAGGTTGGATATGCTAACAAGACATACGAAGCGGACATACCAGACAATCATCTCAATGCATTGAAACCCGCCTGGCACACGTCGAACTTGGCAAGATGTATAAAACTGCAGGCATGCGAGAAGCTGCGACATATCCCACCACCTCATTGTTAACGCTCAGCATGCCTCAAGCAAACCTCATCTCACGCTGGGCAACCCGCTGCGGCCACTGCGGCTCCAACGACGCGCCAAAACGATGCGGTTTATGCCGCGTGAGTCGTTACTGCGACGTGGAGTGCCAAAAGAAGGACTGGCAGAGCCACAAAGTGGCTTGCAAAAACCATGTCGAAAGCCTGCGACAGGTCGGAGACCGGGACATCGCAAGTATCATGGAGTTCTTCTCCAAGTATGTGGACGACTGGCGCCTCGCATTCGGCCACTGGGCACTGTACAGCGCTGACTTGGCGAATCACGACAAGGACTACTTAGTGGACAACTTGTAAGCAGCCACTTGACTCAGAGGCGCGCCTTAAAATCAACAGTTTTGTTATCATTCTCGAGCCAGCGCCGGCTCGCCGGGGAAGGAAGAGCGCATTCGAGGTAAGTAAACCAAGCCATTGAAGAGCTCATTGCACTCACCTCCACTTGAAAGGTCACGTATTCGAGCATGGTTGCGAATGACCTGTTCAAAACCTTCGTCCCAATGGAAGGGCTAGAGAATTCTGACAACGCCGCGCAACGAAGAAGCAGAATTCCGAAAGCAATTCGCTAGTCTCTCTAAAGGTCGAGAGGTTATGCGAATAGTCGTCAGCTCTTCGGCATTGTGCACCATGTTTACTGTGCCATTGGAGGCAATATTGCCGGCAGAACTGCGGGCTTGGTGTGAAGAACCGAAGGCGACCCGGTTCTTCAAAGAGTTGTACGAAACTGAATTCAAGGACGTGGTTTCAAACGGTCGTAGTGAGTGCCCCAAACTATGTAGTGCGTCACACTCAGCGAGTGGTTAGCTCTAACCGCGTTGAACCACGCGCTGGAACTATATATATTTATGTTAACGGGAAATGTAGTAGACTTGCCGGAGAGCACTTGAACCAATAAACCGGTATGATATGATGCGGTGACAGTCATGATGCAAGTCAGCGGTCACGTGTGAAAAGTACTCTCCCCTCAACGTTCTCATCCCGCCGCTATGCTGGACAACGAATCCTGTTAGTGACGCGTACCTACGACAAACCCCAAAGGCGCCGTACTTTTCATTTACACGCCGCCCCCCCCCCCATGGATACCCCTTCTATCGACGAACGAGGCGAATCCTTCTGCTGGTCGCGAGTTATACAGACCTTCGGCTGCTTGCGCCACGGGCAAGCTGTCTTGTGCTTAGGGGAAGATGTGTGGTATGCGGAATCCACGCCTCAAGCCAGCACTGCGGTAGCCATAAAGAGGACGAACTGCGCCACGCACTACAACGTCGTACTGCCCCGGTTAACGCTCCATTCCATAAACCTGAGCGTCGCCAAACAGGTACACTACTTGATCTCGACAACGCCTACGATGGCCGAGTTGGCACTATGGGAGGAAGTGGACATGAACTGCGTGTGTGATATTCCCCGCTACGGCGACAAACCCATCCTTGTCGCGGGGAATAGGGTATACCTCCAATCAGGAACGCGGACAGACACTCCGCGGAGAAGCGGTTTCATTATGGACGTCGAACGAAAAGGTCTCTGTCGCGTCCGAGTAGCTCTCGACGGCCAACCCCTCAACGCCCTCTCTCCCGACCTGCCCCTCGCTCTACTTTCCAGCGTGGCGAATCCCCTTGACGAAATTGTTATCGACAGAAGCCTCTTGCGGCCCCATTTCATCCACGGGCCCCTGAAGCTTCACTTAGAGGACCGTGTGGTGGTGTTGCGCGGGCCCCACCGCCGATGTATTGGCCGCGTCGCACGCATCCACCCGAAAGGCAGCTACGCCTTGATCACTATGTCGCACCACGAGTCTTCCTTGTCAAACATCGCGGTGTGCAACGTCGCGTGCATATTCATGCCAGGCGACGCTGTCAGCATAACATACGGGTTCTACGAAGGGAAAAAGGGGTTTATCACGGGGACATTCTCGCTCCAACCAAGTGAAGAGCAATACCCGCCTGGGGGGCTCGAGATCTATGTCGTGCGTGCGATCGGCTTGCAATTTTTCGAGCTGAAAAGGCGCAGGATGAAATCCAGCAACACGTACGTTAGCTCCCCCCCAGAAAGCACTGGCTACACCATCGTTAGATTTGTGTACCCACTCAATTTGTGGTGTTTAACCACAGAGCTCGGACAGGTATCCCTTAAGCACTGTGTGAGGTTGCTCCCGCGCGGGTGGCACGGCATTCTCCGCCGTAGCGTAGTGATCTGTTTACAGTTGTTTGTTTTTGTTATTTACGCATGTTTGGTGCTCGAATTTTTCACATACAGGACCTTACTAAAGCAAGGTAACTCTTGCATAAATGGAATGGAGTGAAGTGTTATGAACTTCAAGTTACGACTTCCTCATAATGGTCACATCCCATATGCATTGCCGGTATGCGCTGATATAGGCCCTTTCCCTGTCCTCCAGGTCCTGCTCGCTCGTATGCACCTCTGGCGGAAGGGCCCGTTCCAGCCGCTCTGGTGAAAGCTCCATTGCATAGTCGATAATGTCCCACGCTGCTCTGGACCCACCATTCGCATCGTTTGACGCGAATGTGATTTGCGGGAAGCCAGGGAGATATTGGTCGAGGGCGGCGTCGATGGATCCTGCGAAGAGCGGATTCCGCTCGAAACCGCGAAAGTGCGGAGTGCGAGTGGCAGTGGAATGGAGTGCCAGGCCAGTAAGCTTGGGTATCCGGGCGATGCTATTGACTAGAAGGTGCTTATATACCCATTAGCGATGAAAAACTTGAAAAGTCCATACCAAGAGAGAGAACTCACGAATGCATTTGTTTTGTCATCTGGAGTGTCAAGATGCTGGGCATCTATGCTCATCTCTAGCCGCGTGAGGTTTTCCAATGTGGACAGCACTTGTGCATTTCCCAGTTGCACAGACCAGGCGCTTTCTAATGCCGGAACACATCGGAGCGTTTGTAACGAGGCGGCATGTCGCGGTAACACCTCTTCGAAAAAAATACACGCATCGTCCTCCATTTGGTCATTTCCTCGAATATCGAGCGCGAGGGTCTGCAGACCCGAGTACGACCCGAGATATTCAAGTAGTGCGCGCGGAACCCGATTGCTCGTCATGTTCCAGGAGTTGGCCGCGATATTTACCACAAGGCCAACTAGTTGGAGCTTTAATCGGAGGAGCGTCTGCCAAATGACGTCATCCCACCGATGGTCGGTAAGATGCAGCACGCGCAGTTGAGGACATCGCTCGATAATGCCAGCAACTTGTTGCGACACCGGCACGCCTGGCTTGAGGTCCTCTGTATCGGGGTCGTAGTCCCATGTTGCAGGTTGCGGGCAGAGGATCTTGAGTATGGTGAGGTTCGAGAGCTTGGGGAGGACCACAATCACGCGTCCAAGTCGCAGATCGACGCTTTCCAGACAAGGAAACCCGACAAGAGCCCCCATTAGCGCCTCACAAAACCAGCGGGCATCAGTGGAACGTAGTGACAGCCTGCAATTAAATCAGCCTCTAGATGGATTTTTTTTCTTTAGCTGTACTCGTACCAACCTCGCAAAAGTAACCCGCGGCAGATTCTTTAGTCCCTCTGCGACTGCGCTAACCGCACCGACCTGCTCTTCTGTCGGGTCTGGGTTCTCCTCGATTTCTACATCCCAACGCCGCCTAGCAGTGGCCGCCTCGTTCCAATATTCGTCCGTAGGCGTGCCGAACGCGATGGCAACACCACGAGCATGTTTGGCCCATGGATTGTCTGTGTTGGTCGATAATTCTGCCACAAACGCCTGCGTTTCAGGAGTATACACGCGATTGCTGGCAATTAGGACGAGTTCGAAGTAAATTGGGTCGACCGCTAATTGGAAGTATGAGCACACTGAGCGGAGGGCGCCTTGCTCTTCGAGACGGAGCTGGAATCTTGGTTTAGCAGGGGCAACATGAACAACTTTAGAGGATACCGTACGTGACGCGCGATATGTTGGATGAGCTCCACCGCGAGGTCCTTGAATAGAGGCATGATGGGAGTGGTTTAGAACCAGGCAGCGCCGACAGCCGTGAGCGATTCTGTCATTCGGAATATCTGATCCGCCAAGGAGAAGAACACGGGTTGGAATTGGTCGAGTCTGGATCTGAGATTCGTGAAGAATGCATCAAGAACACGATTTTTTCCAACACACAAGAGTTTTCGAGTTAGAGAAAATGGGACGGAGTCAACTGAATGTGACAACTTGTGACACAAGTTGTCACATTCTTTAAAACCACCACCCACAATGACACCCACACCCACACACTCTCTTCTGAGCCTTCATGGACGACAAACACGAAGAGCACATCTCGTTAATTCCAAAAGACTTGGAAAATATCCTCGCATGGAATCCTCCTCGTCTCGAGTTGAGGCCTCCGCCATCCCGCTGGATGTCGTCGACGCCTACGCTTCCTCCTCGTGTCTTCTATACGAAACACATCGATGATAAACTTGTGTTAAAACAAGTTTTTCCGCTGGAATCTCTTACTCAGGATTTGGCTCGGTTCGCATCTGTAACTCTCTCATCCGCTTTCTCCGATTGCCCCACCAACATATTATTGTCAAACCATGCCTTCGGGAGCACGTTGGGAAAGGCGACTCGGATACCCAACGTGATGTATGCACCGGAGGCCCTGGCAGACTACCGTTCAGAGTCTATTGGGGAATTTTGTTGCACGCTCGCGACGAAGGCACTGATACCAAATCTCGCTGCTTTCGAATCGAGTGTTTGTTTTGGACGTCACGCCCGGCCGCCGATGACAAGTCGTACAACATGGATGATAACACTTGTATCTGGCTTTTGACAAAGAAGGATGGCGCAATATATCTGTACGAGGGACATTCCGAGCTCATCGACAAGTCTGTACTCGATGATTTACAGTTGGTGCAGTCTCATTACCCCAAAATCGGTACTTGGGTGTTTCTCTCCCTGTCGGGGGAGTCGGAAAAACTTCTTGGAGATCTGAATCGCATTCCATCGCGAACTACTAGTAGCTTCAACTACAAACAATGCTCGACGGTCTTCCCTGCACCAACTGCTTCATCCAGGCAAGTACCATGCGACGCAGCGTCTAGTCCTTGGACGCTTCCACCGACTACTCCCAACGTACATATTCTACGTCTTGATATACTCAACTTACCTTTCTTGGCAGACCAGAAGTCTCCGGTCGTCTAGGAAAGTCAAGCTCGCTCAATCCACGTCAAATATAATCCCTTCAGCGAAAAGAAGACCGAAAACCACTGCACATGTTGCGTGCAGTCTTACTCCGGAAAGCTTGATACAGCTTGTAAGCCTTGAAATAGCGGCCACTTGATTTAACCCTCAACTCACAAATTATCATAGGCATGGGCTCGCGCGGTGGAAACAGACTCGACTATGATCATTCTCAATTGCGGAAACTACGAGCGCATATGTGTTCGTCATCGAGCAACACAGAGCCTTTACATGTCAGACTTGTTTGATATCACGACTTGCGTTAATCCGGGCTACCTGAGAATGCAGGTTGGCCTACACCTATCCTTAATTTTCGATGCCATAGCACGAGCAAAGCAAGCACGCATTGCCGTTCACAGGGCTGTTACTAAAATTTTTGCTTTGAAAAAGTTAGTGGCAAAAGTTGAAGTTTTATTGCAAGTTTTTGTCTTCACAAACCCTGAAGTTTTGTAGTCAATTTTATCTCAAGAAATACTGTCACACTGAGTTTTTCCAAAGGAAAAACTGTCACAGCTGATTTTTACACCGTAAAAACTGTCACAGTGACAGTTTTTCCCTCACAAAAATTTGGTGTGACAGTTTTTTCCATAACAAAACCTTTACAAAAATTAGTTGTGACAGTTTTTCTCTCGAAAAAACTCTTTGTGACAGTTCTTTATTAGATTTTTTCCTTTGAGAAACTTGTCATTTTTTCTATGGTTTCTATACAAAGAAATCTTTCCATTTTAATGCTAACTTTTGTCTAGGAAAAATTCCGGAAATGGCCCTGTGGTTCCCAACCCTTACGACCGACCTCGCCGCGCCGCTCAAAAGCGGCCACGACCAATAGACGACACACGATCACCACCCCCAAAGCGTTCTAGAGGCATCAACAAGCCCCTTCGATCGTACCAATCTTTTATGGCACTTGCCAGCGATCGGGACATGATGATGTTGCACCTGCAATACGGCATTTATCATTCCCTAGCCCCGGCTTCGTTTATTCGTGCCACACCATGTCTGGTGCACGAGAGAAAGAATAAACCCCAATCTTGTCCTCCGATAAAGCGAAAATACCGCGCTCAAGACGTTTTCGAAGTTGTGCTGACTTCGAGAATAGGCGATGGCGCGACTGGTGTTGCTCACGGAGCATTTGTGCGGGTGACCACTGAGGAGGGCGAGACCGTTATCGAAGAGAATCTGGTCATTAAACTTGCATTTCTGGAACAGCCTCAACGGAGAATGCGCCACGAATACTCAGTCTATTCTCGTTTGGCGGAGCATGGGGTCACTGGTGTTCCGAAGGTCTATGGACTGTTCGAAGATCTCGAAGGGGGCGCTATCGCTCTCTTGATGAGCCATTGTGGGAGCGACCTTTGGCACCTTCGACCTGACAAAACGAGTCTGAGAACTTCGGTCACCCCCGCTCAACGGTATGGATCATCCTCTCCATATATGATCATTCCTTGATGTCTTTTTGGCCATTAGAGACCGTTTTATCGAAATTCTCGAGAGCGTGCACAACGCCGGCATCCGTCACCACGATATCCGTGCCGAGAACTTGTTGTTGAATGAGAGTGGCGAGGCGTTCATCGCCGACTTTGACCGTGCTCGATTCAATCCGAGTGATGGGAAGAAGAAATGGGAAATGGACATTCTCAAAGCGTCGCTGGAAGGCTTCTATCATGACTTCACTTTTCCAAGTCCAAGAATGGACGGCGACGAAAAGGAGATCTGGCCATGCTCGCCGAGTCCACACCAGCGCTGGAGCGACTGGTATAGCTCTCCGGTCGACGACGATGACTCGGAGCCCGGGGGGCATTCACCAAGTTCAAGTTGGGGGGGAACTTCAAGTTCAAGTTGTGGGTCCGAAGACTAAGTTAACAGTGGTTCCAGGCTCACTCACTAGCACCCAGGCGTGGGCGCCACTGCTGACAACTCGATAGCAACTATTTTCACCTTTTCCTGTAACCAGCTGTCGTAATCTTTCTCCTTTGACAAAATCGATAACCACTTTGTTCCTTAGAAATAGGCTGTACTGCGTTTAATTGGACACTGCACAGAGGATAGTATGTAGTTGCTAGTTACCCGGAACGACGTGTAGCATTGTATACAACATAAGTCAAGTACATCACAGGTTTTTTCGGAGCAAAGGAAATCTTGAATTCCGGCGGCGCCGGGCCTATGTCCATATTTGGACATGCGACATAGGCCCCAGCCAATCATTTTTCAAAGCCGGCCGGCGGGCAGTCTGGGCCCCGATAGCCCATCACCGGCGGATCCTTTTCGGGAGCATCGTGACGGCGTATGCAAACTTGCTCTGGACGATCACTGCGCACACTGGCAGTCATAGGGACAGAGCGCAAACTTGTGGTACCCGTGCTCGCTGACAAGTCCGCTGTGTTGGGGCGCTCTGGCCCGAAACCGAAACATGGCTCTAGCAATAGCCTACTTAAAGTGGGTCGGAGTCCATGGACGAACAAGGCGTGGCTCGCGCGATCAAAGCAAGCTCAGTTGCTTTGCCCAGCATATAAAACTCTGGTGACTGGTCACGTTCTATAAGTTTGTTTACCCCAATCCACCGTCATCATGCCACAAGCATCTTCCGCCATTCCAGGCGTCCCGAAGGCCAGCCTGGCCACGGTCATCCCCTCCAACGTCCTTGCCGACATATTCGCGTATCTCGCCCCCGTTCCACAGACTATCGGACTCCGGTGGCAACCGCGGAGCCTTGCCGAGGGGCGACAGACACTTGCACACGACCATCTGCTTCGCGTTGGTGGGGTCTGCCAGGCTTGGAGGCGGGCAGCTGCGTCCCCGTCGCTCTGGACGACGCTCGAGGTGGACTTCGTCGCTGAGCCAACGGCATCAATGCTAGGTCTGATGGCGCTGTTCCGTGTCCTCCTGCCGCGTTCCCGGAGGCTCCCGTTGACGATCCACTTGCGAATTCCCATCAGGCAACTGGAGAAAATTAAAGGACCATTCTCCGTGTTGGCCAAGACTGCGCCGCGGTGGCGTGTGCTAAATATCTGTGACGGATATCCGCAACGGCAGCCCCACAGCGACTGGCCGGGGTCGCTTAAACTCCCTAAGCGCACGAAGATGCCTTTACTCGAAGAGCTCCATGTCGTCCCCCGCAATCGCCTCCCCATCAACATCACCACGGACAAGTCCCCACACTTGCGGCGCATCTTCACCGGCCCGGTGGCCTTGCCACAGACCCCAAACCCCGCAGCGGACGAGAAGGCAAAGAAAAAAGCGACGGCGGCCCGCGGACGGTTATCCATCCCGTCGCAAGCAACCGAGAAGTACCTCACGTCCCACCACAAAACCCCAGGGAACATGTTCCTCGCGCTTAGGCAGCTGGGGCGCACGTCGGGCCCGCTCCACCTCAGCATCATCCCCTCCAGCCCGCCCGATCCGCTGGCCATCCTTCCCCCCACCCTCGGCTGGGGCTCTTTAGAGACACAGGAGCTCAATCTGACCGTCGGGACCCCACACCGCGACAATGATCTCAGAACTCCTGCGGCCAGCGGCGCACTCGATCTCATCATCAACAGACTGATGGCCCCGTATTTAACGCGCCTCACGATTGCTAGCGCCTCGAACGACGTGTTGTCTCTCTCGCCAGCCACGTTCGCGCAGTTTGTGGGCCGCAACGAGCACGTGATGGGCGTCGCGCACCTCGAGGAGCTTCACCTCCTCAACGTCGTCTTCGCGGAGCGGACCCACATCATCACGATGCCACTGGGGCGGCCAGATGCCATCAAGGCTGAGCCGCTGCTCAGCGCGACCCAACAAGCAGAACGGTGGATGAGCGCCGTGCCGCATCTCACCCGCCTCACCCTCAGCGACCTGCCGCCGCGGCCCGCTGCCGCTCCGCTGGACCCCGCCACCGCCGAGCCGACCCACTGGCGACACGTGATCAGCAGCGCATTCTTCGCGCATCTCGCCGCCTGCCCGCAGCTGCTCCCGAAACTTGTAGCGCTCACGTGTTACACGACGCTCCGCTTCCACCCGCGCCACTTGCGCGCGCTCGTTCTCGCACGGCCCCAGCTGCGCGTCCATCTCAAGGTCTTGGACGGTGCTCGTAGGGTTAAGGTCGCCGATGCTGTGTATTGTCCCCGGGTAGATGTGGAGCCCGTCCTCCTGTTCGATGAGAGGGCGAAGAGAAGTGATTGGTCTGCGTTTTGGTAGCGGCGGCATTGAACAGTGTATTTGTTATATATAGAGATTGGAATGCAATCTTGAGTGTTTGCTCAGTCTTTTGGGAATCGAGTCTTTCCGGAAAGACCTTGAAGTCTATAACTGCAGCCTATGTAGATAATGGGAACTTTATCGCTGCCACATTGCAATATTGCCTGGCAGGTGCAGGAGCAGCAACCGCGAGAAGAACTTAAATGCGGCCGACGCGGTGGTTGCGCGGTGGACCTCAGACCCGGGGCTTGGCCAAGACGCCTTGGGGCTCGGAGGCATTGTGGGTCGCCACCAGTTGGAGGGCGGGCGGGATTAGACCGTGTGTGAGCTTGAAGGTCGTTTCGACTGTCCAGTGAAAACGAAAAATCTGTGACGAGTGATGGCTAACCCAGTCGGCCGATGGTGATGCGATATTCCGTGACCGATTTGATCTAATACATCATTCATCACGACATCAATCCAACACGCTGAAGCCACCTGGCATTCAAGACGTGAACTGCCTCTTGCTCTTGACCAGCATCCCCCCCTGCTGTACTCGGAACACTGAAATTGACAATGAATTCACACCCTGCCTCTGTTATGAACATTTCTGGTATGTGCTCTGACTACTCATGTCCAAGCTTCATGGTTGCAGGGGGAACTGGTGGTGCTGGTGGTGCTGGTGGGCAGCTTGGAGGAGGTGGGAGGCACTGGCCAAGGGCCTCAAATCACTGTGGCTAATGCTAATATGTATGTGCTCCAATAATTGCCTTTTCAGTAGTTTGACATTGCATTTCAGGACAGTCCATGGGGCAAACACAGAGTGTAAGCCCTGAAATTGTTTCCATAATGATAACATGAATATATCAATTTAGCGTATAACAAACTGATGAATTGGATGTCCCCAATCAACTTTTTCCCCCGACACCAAGCAATTTATGAAAGCTGTCAACCAAATACAGGAAACTGGCTATTACAACACCCTGCATTTGTGAACTGGACCTCAAACCAGGGGGAAATACTCTGGTGCTCTGGGATACGTAGGTCTTCACTAAAAATATTATTGGGCTGTGACTAATAAGTTGTTCAGCTGGTATGGGAAAGACTGTGCTAGCGTAATATATTGAAAAAATTGCAAGCATAAGCTGACAATCCTTATAGATCCAAGGTGATAGAACATATACAGAAAAAGCAAGACTTGAGCAGTGGTGTTGCTTTTATGTATCTGAATTATAAAGAAAAGGAGATTCAGACAGTCAAGAACCTACTGGGTGCACTTTGGAGGCAACTTGCAATTGGAAAGGATATTACAGATGCCAAAAATCTCTTCAAATCACATCAGACTAAAGAAATCCAGCCAAGTCTTGATGAGATTCAGCAACTATTAACATCCTTAGTAGCATCCTTCAAGACAGTACATATTGTGGTGGATGCTCTTGATGAGTATATAGCTGAAGACCCTTCCAGTCTCATCAAGTACCTTGCTCTCTTAGGGAATAGTATAAATCTTATGATTATGTGCAGACCTCATGTGTCTCCACCTTCTCAGCTGCAGATTACTTTTCTGGAAATTCAAGCACAGGAAGAAGACATGCAACAGTATATCTCAACACAGATCCAAGAGCATAACACTCTCAGGGAGATTATATCTGAGGAACCTACATTACAGCAACAAATCATCAGCAAAACTATACTCAAGGCAAAAGGGATGTAAGTAAAAAGATTATAAAAATATTATTTATTCAACTGCATAGGTTCTTAGTTGTGAAACTACAGCTTCAACTGCTTAGTAAAAGCCTTACAATTGAAGAACTGGAAAATTCTTTAGACCTTTTACCTGAGACTTTAGACCTGAACTACAGGAGGACTCTTGAGATTATAAAAGTTCAACCAACAAGTCAGCTTGCTCTCTTGGCTCTAGGATGGATCTCCCATGCCAAACGACCATTAAAAAGTATTGAACTACAAACTGCCCTTGCAATAAACTCAAACACTATGAAAATACCAGGCCCAAAGCAGTTAGTGAGGATTCAGCATATTATAAAGGCATGCTGTGGGCTTGTAGTAAAAGAATCAGAGTCAGATATCATCAGACTCGCTCACTACACTACCCAAGACTTTCTGGAAAGCTTGAACTCTTTGGAGTTTGCAGATATGGAGGTTACAATTACATTAGTCCTCACAAAATACATTCAATTTGTACCAACTCTGAAGGATAGGAATATAAACCTTGATTATCCTCTTTTGTCATATGCACAGCATGTCTTAGTTCATGCAAAAGGAAGAGCAGAAGTTGAGCTGAAAGAGGATTTAATTCAATTGCTGCAGCATCTAGTAGCCTGTGACATAATTAGCTATGCAGGGGAGTTGAGTTGGTCGGAGCCATGGACCAGCTTAAAATCTTCTTTCTGGATCAACTTTAGATATCCAGATCACTGGATCAACTTTGCAGATTCAGCTCCAACATGCAGATGCATTGCTGCAGCAGGGAACTTGACCACTCTGGTTAAGGCTTTGAGATATGAAGCAGCTAATGGTCCTGATAGGTCAATAATATTTGCAGCCCTATATGGCCATGATACTTTGGTGAAAATGCTTCTGGAAGAGAATAAAAAGGAAAATTTAGAAATTGTACATGAGATGTATGGAACAGTGCTACATAGTGCTATATTGTCTGGAGCTATAGAGACTGTTCAATTTCTTCTTGACTCTGGTGCACAGGTAGATTTGGTTGCGGGAAAATATGGAACTGCTCTTCAGGCTGCTGCATATAGGGGACAGACACAAACCCTCCAGTTTTTACTAAACTCTGGTGCACAGGTGGATTTAGTTGCTGGTAAATATGAAAGTGCCCTTCAGGCTGCTGCACAGGAGGGACAGACACAAACTCTCAAGCTTCTACTCCACTCTGGTGCACAAGTGGATTTGGTTGCTGGAAAATATGGAACTGCTCTTCAGGCTGCTGCATATAGGGGACAGACAGAAGCTGTCCAGCTTCTGCTCAACTCTGGTGCACAGGTAGATTTGGTTGCTGGAGAGTATGGGACTGCTCTTCAGGGTGCTGCATCCAATGGAAAGGCAGAAACTGTTCAGCTTTTGCTAAATTCTGGGGCACAAGTGGATCTGGTTGCTGGTGCAAATGGAACTGCTCTTCAGGCTGCAGCATCCAATGGAGAGACAGAAACTGTTCAGCTTTTACTAAACTCTGGTGCACAAGTGGATTTAGTTGCTGGTAAATATGGAACCGCTCTTCAGGCTGCTGCACAGTGGGGCCGGACACAAACTGTCCAGCTTCTACTCAACTCTGGTGCCCAGGTGGATTTGGTTGCTGGGAAATATGGAACTGCTCTTCAGGCTGCAGCTATACAGTGGGGACGGATACAAACTGTTGTGCTTCTACTCAACTCTGGTGCCCAGGTGGATTTGATTGCTGGAAAATATGGAACTGCTCTTCAGGCTGCTGCATATAGGGGGGCAGACACAAACTGTTGAGCTGCTACTTGACTTGGATGCACAGGTAGATTTGGTGGCTGGAGAATATGGAACTGCTCTTCAGGCTGCAGCATCCAATGGAGAGGCAGAAACTGTTCAGCTTTTACTAAACTCTGGTGCACAAGTGGATTTAGTTGCGGGTAAATACGGAACTGCTCTTCAAGCTGCTGCATCCAATGGAGAGGCAGACACTGTCCAGTTTTTACTAGACTCTGGTGCACAAGTAGATTTGGTTGCTGGTCAGTATGGAACTGCTCTCCATGCTGCTGCATATATGGGAAAATCAGAAACTGTTCAGCTTTTACTAGACTCTGGTGCACAAGTAGATTTGGTTGCTGGAAACTATGGAACTGCTCTTCAGGCTGCAGCATCCAATGGAGAGACAGAAACTGTCCAGATTTTACTAAACTCTGGTGCCCAGGTGGATTTGATTGCTGGTAAATATGGAACTGCTCTTCAGGCTGCTGCATCCAATGGGAAGACAGAAACTGTTCAGCTTTTACTAGACTTTGGTGCACAAGTAGATTTGGTTGCTGGTCGCTATGGAACTGCTCTCCATGCTGCTGCATATATGGGAAAATCAGAAACTGTCCAACTCTTGCTTAACTCTGGTGCACTGGTATATTCTATTGCTGGAAAGTACAGAACACCTTTGCTAGCAGCCTTACTTTCTCAAAATTCTAACTGGTCTTGTATCTCCATTTTACTTAATGCTGGTGCAAAAAAAGAATATCCAGCCATCTATACCTTACACACTCAAAGCACAATCTGGTCACTGATTTTGACACCTAATGATGAAAGATATGTTCTAACACCTCATAAACCATTGATTTGCACTTTATAGACTTGATCTCAAGGACGCATCCAATTATCATACTGGCATTGATGTTGACTGATAATTATTATTTCCATTGAACAAGAAACAGCTGGGGCTCTCCCCAACAGCTTTGAATATGATATGATTACAGCCCTATAGGCTTATAGCAATATTCACTAATCACTATGTCAATTCTTGAAAGGTCCTCTATCACACCCTGTTGATTCCTACCACATACCTATCCTTTTTGATCCGATCATCGCCCTGATGACATCCCTGCTTGTCACTGTTCCTGTCAAATGTCTATGTCTTGTTGCATAGCCTTACTTTGATAGTAGTATGACAAGTGCCATGGTGAAACAGCTACTTACAGTCTAGTTTAGTCTGACACCTGTTGCACTAGTATATAAGTAGCCAGCTAGACCTCCTGTACCCTAGTCCTTTTATTCTCATTGATTACACCAAACACACCTACCTGTTTGGGAGTCTGTCACACTAGTAACAAACTTCTACCATCTTACAAATCCTCCCTTTACTTTGTTCTACGGAGCCATCACTTGATTACTCATTCAGTTGACCCATCATTTGATCAAGCTCTGTTTGTGACATCCTCTTTGCAAAAGTTGTAGGATCAAGGCAACAGTAAATCCCATATTTATCCACCTATGACTTTTAGTGTCACACTAAATCAGGTAAAATATATCCAGCTGTT